TGTGTGTAACCACCTTCCCCCATAGTTTAGTGTTGTCCATGAATTTTGTCAGTCCGCATCTGATGTCCGTATCCAGATTATTCATGAAGATGCTGAAGAGTACTGGCTCAAGTACTGAGCCCTGAGGTACACCACTAGTCGCCTTGCACTATGCTGATTTGCTTCCATTAACTATTACTCTTTGGATCCGACCCCAGAGCCAGTTCCCCAGCCATCAGACCATCAGATGGTCAAGGCCTCAGTTCCCCAGCTTAACCATGAGGACATCATGGGAGACCAAGTCAAAGGCTTTCTTGAAATCCAGATATATGACATCAACCTTATCTCCCTTGTCCAGGCAATGTATCACCTGGTCATAGGCGATGAGGTTGGTCAGGCAAGACCTTCCAGCAACCAAGCCATGTTGGTTGGCACTCAGATCATCTAGTCCAACCCCTGAATGATATACAGGTCAGATGGGATTATCTAATGTTTCATTCTGGCCTTATCCTATCAATCCATACAGCCTCTTGAGCAAGCCTCAGAGCACTGTTGAAATAACCCCGGCATCTCGACTTACATGAGTCCACAAATAAGGCACAGGCAGCTCTTGTGCATGCCTGAATGAGCCAGTAGCACTGTGCTCAGGCTCTCCATAGACAGGCAAGGAGCACACAAGCACCCAAGCCATTTATGCTGCCTAATTTGAAGGCTTGTGTAAGAGTGGATGGGCTCCCAGGCTCACTCCAGTCTACATACACCTACCTATGAATCCATTCAAACAAATGATGTTGAAAACTCAATGCTGCTGCCAAGCAGGATACTCAAGAATAAACCCAGAGCTTGGTGTGACTTGTCATGGTTCACTTTCCCCTGCATCAAGGGGTGGCCTCCAGGCTGGTGTTTCTCAGTTGGGGGAGTTTCAGTATGTCATAGATAAAACAAGAAGGATCCAGTTGGGTAGAGCAATGGGCAATTCAGGGAGTTACAGCTTCTAGATAAAGCTTTTGACCAGCCAGGCTCAGGTCAATCCTGGGACATCTCAGAAAATGCTCCTTTCCCAGGGCTGGCTGGCACCTTCACCAACTCCCTACCTATGCATAGACTTCTTCCCTCCCCAGGCACTGTGAATACGGAAATGGAAAGGATTGGGGCCATTTACCTCTGAAACGAGGCAAAATGGGAGAAACCCAGAGAATTCAAGCAGTCTACGCAAGGCAGGCCAGGAGCTTCAGTTCTCCCCATCTTGTAACATGAGAACAAGGTGACAGGCAATGAAACCAAAACAGAAAATGAAAAACAAAGCAGCGTTTGTTCTTCCCACAGTATGTCAGTCATTGCCACAGGATGCTGCCGAGGTCAAGAAGCCAGCCATTTTCAAAGAGAAATCAGTCACAGACCCCTTTTCATGATCACGCCCACAGCAGCTATCAGTGTTTGGCTTTGGTGTCTAGCTACAGATAGGAAATATTTGCTGTTAACCAGCAGAATTTCTGTTCTGTGCCAGAACCGTGTATTGGCTGATCATTAACCATTTCTTCAGGCTGCATTTGTACACAGCAGTGTGGATTGACACTTATTTTAGCAGCCATCAGTGTCACCTGGGAGTTCAGAGCAACAACAGAAAAGGCACTTAGTTGACTGATCCAGTGTTTCCTGCAACCATAGCAGATGGTTACCTGGTCTGCTGTTCAGATCCAGCTGCAGCCTCAGTCCCTCTTCTAGGTGGACAGCTGACAGTCTGGTGCTTGGCTCTTTAGACCAAAGTAATACAATTCAGCCTTCTTTTGGAGTCAGGAAAGGTCAAACTAAGTCTTTTGTCAGCTATCCTTGAGGCTCAATCCTTCCCATGCTGGTGTATGGGTTTCCTCGTTCCCTATTTAGGAGATGCTACTATGCTTCTGTCTCCTGAATTCAGTCTGTCCTGATCCCAAAGGCATCCTGATTTTACAGGCCTGTTTCCTAAGGCACCAATTGCTATCCAGGGTTTCCTTCAACTCCAGCCTACATATCCTTCCCCAAAATCTTTCTATAGGCCAGCTCTAGATTTCTTTGGGTCTCTCCTGGATTCTTACATGCTAGCCTTCCAAGTTCTTTCCCTGGTTCTCTTTCATCAGCTCTATGCCCTGCAAAGCATACATTGTCCAGCAAGTCTGGGTCTCACGTGGCCGGAGGAAATCAAGCCCATCTCAGAGTTGAAACCTGATCTCCTTAAGGCCTAGCTCAACCTGTGACTGCCTGGAACTGCTGGCCTACTATACAAGGTCTCCCCTTGCAGGCCAAGCCCTACAAGGAGAGACTAGGGCACCTGGACCTCTTCAGCCTCCACAAGAGAAGGTTGAGAGGCGACCTTGTGGCTGCCTATAAATTCATCATGGGGGCACAGAAGGGAATTGGTGAGGCTCTATTCACCAAGGCACCCCTGGGGGTCACAAGAAATAATGGCCATAAGCTAGCAGAGAGCAGATTTAGACCGGACATTAGGAAGAACTTCTTCACAGTTAGAGTGGCCAAAATCTGGAATGGGCTCCCAAGGGAGGTGGTGCTCTCCCCTACCCTGGGGGTCTTCAAGAGGAGGTTA